TTTTACCCCAATTTGTGCGCATTTGGGCCACAAACACACACACACTCATGATCTTATAACCGGAATTTCATGCAATGTGTTCAATATTGATCATTCACTCCGGAGTAATTTCGGTGTTAGCCCCATCAGGATGTGCAAGCTTCTGTTGACTTCGAAGCAAAGTTCGGACCTGGGTGCAGATTGAAGACAGTAGGGGGAGAGGATAGAGTGAGAGTGGGTTTTGATTAAACTCATGCAACATGACTCTCATTTCGGCAGGACATTTCGGTGTACAGTATCATACCTGTGTATCGATAGCTACGGATGATTTGTATTTATTCCGAATTTCATCTCTCAAAGCAATGTTCCGAGGTCTCTTCCATCACCGTTTAAATTTGCGCCACCTTGATGATCGCGATATATTTTGTAGTAGTTCGAAAATTACAGCTTAGAACTGACAAAATATTTTATGCAAATCAGCACGAAAGTTCATTCTTTCTAATAAATGCTTTCTTTTTTCATGAGAGTGTTTATTCTGATCAATATAAGTACCCTAAATAGCTTGTCTTTTTCATTTAGTGTACAGTAAATCAGCGGATTTTGTACAAAATTTATAGCCGAAATAAATTGACAAATTAGTAGTTTGTAGCCAAACTATTCACATGAAATCCCTCATCCTGAAGAAATTAAAAATATATTCCAAAAAACATAGAACTAACCTTTAAAAGTTGACCTTGAGGTGTGCGGCTCGTTGAATAAGCGTTTTTTTTAATTGTCACTGCCAAACCGGTTGAAAAATCCAAGAATTTTGGGCATATAGTTGAGGCCGAGAGGCAACTTAATCGAGATGCGTATAAATCTGATGACTCGGTTCCTGTGTTGTGCCAGTACCTTGCTGCGAACATTCGTCCAATTGACCGCACAATCAACAGAATTTCTCCTTCAGGACATAGAGAGACAACAGATCACATCGAAGCAAGACGATCGCAGACAAATCCCTGTGAAGTAGTTGCAGCTCATACTTATCGCATTTGCCACGAACCGAGCTCAAGATGGGCAGAGTAAGTTTGCGAGGTGGGGTGGGGTTTAAGAGTACAGGGTTATGAGAATTCCTGTTTTACCTCTTGGCAAATGATCTGCGCACAATTGTCGCACAATTGCTCATGTCCCAGTCACTAATTTGCCAGATGCTCTGGGTGTCACTTACAAAATCCGGTCTTAGTTTTCTCTCCATTTTTAGGTTTGCACAATCAGTGTCCATGACACAAGCCTTCGTAGAACAATACCATATCCCGGATGAACAAACAACAATCCGGCATAAATAAACGATTATTGATATTTTGGATTGAAAAGAAGTGGATAAAATCTCTTGTCATAATTGATTCGGTGATCATTTCAACTGTTTACATTGCCTGTGCATGTCCGCTTGTGTGTGTCTGTGCATCTATAGTCCATAAAATTCAACCAGATTACCGTCACTTCCTCTGGCGGACCCCAACTAGGAAAAGTGGCCACCCGACAACAACGATCTGGCGACATACCAGGCAGGTGCCAGACGGATTTACAGCCAAAACAGAATATATCCGCCGACTGTGGGTGAACTTCCCCGAGGGGGGTTTGAAAGTGTCATTCCGCTGTGGAGGCCAAAACCAAGACCGATATCGGAAATTAGTGACAGGTTGGTGAGGGACGCATGAGAGAAACATGGATTGTGTTGGTCTCAAATATGAGTTGGGCAAAGAACCTGTCAGGTTGAAGGGAATAAAACCGATCGAAAACTATTGATTTCTGTACGTGAACATTAAAGAGTATGATTATTTCACAAATGAAAATTGTTTCCACTTTACATGAATATACCTAGGTTTTTTTAATTGTTGCTAATCACGGAACGACACAAATAATGAAAGATTCCGGAGCACATATCCAATTCAGCCCCCCCCC